TATCTCAGGATGGGCGCATCCTGAGGAATAGATCGGTGCACAAACAAATAATTTTACTGTCTGTTTATTGTCTGTCTGTTTACTAATCTTGTCGTCGTTTGACTTCGAGGATTTCACTGTGTCTGCGACCGTAGACAGAACCAGAAGTTACCCACATAACCTTAGATGCATGTTCTTATGAAGTACTTAGAATACTGTCATTTTTCGATTGCACACGATACAGTCTACGCTGTCTGTTGCCTCAAACTATTCTGTTTTTGAGATGAGGCCTAGCAATTACCGATTGGACTACTCCTTGCTGTCGAGTCCGATTTTTATGAAATCTTAACGTGTTTGCGTCTATATAATTTGGAGCTTTCCTATTTGCCTTTTTGCTAATGTTACTGCCTTTTGGTCTCTAGTTTCATTGCCCACCACTGTTCTTGAGTATTTTTCAGCCTGCAGCAGTCGCACAGTGTAGTTTGATTTGATGTCGCGATTTGTACCTCCCTATGCAGCGGATCTAGAGGGTTTGACCCTTTGCCTTCTCCACCGAAGGAAATTATTTTCGGGCGCCGGGGTAAAATCTCAGATTTTTACTGAACGACACACCCAACCCGAGCATTCACTACCGTATAGAAGGACTAACCGGACGGATGCCGGGTGTACACACGGATCTTCGTCGTAATGAAGATGTCGCGTGGGATGTATAGATACCTTTGGGAACTGCGAACTTCCCATGGATAGCATCGATTCAAAACCGATTTTCCCACTATATTCTCAATTGATAGTCATTAATCACGAGGCGTTACGTTGAAAATTTTTTATTTTATCAGCGGTTGTGGATAGTGGCCGATTTGGCGACTTCATTCACTCGCGACTTCACAATGTGTAAGTCACGGAAGCTTGAGGCTTGCTGGAAGAGATTATCGAGGTAGTCGTGGTACAGTTAGCAAGCGTTCGAATGCAAGGGATACACGAACAAAATCATGTAGGACCCTTCCAAACATCCACTCAACAGTGAAATTTAACAGAATGAGCGACAGATTACGTTTTCGAATTCTAAACGAAGTATCTAAAAGTTTGGAGGCAGCGTAATGAATTAGAACTCGCACAGTTCTTGAGCCATAGTGGGCCTTGATTATTGTAAGGCTTTTTAATCGAAATACGGCCTGGTTCCATTATGTGTCACAGTGACTCACAGCGTCTCGAACACTTCGGCTATATCAATTATGTGGACTGGGGTCTAACGCCACCGACTCAGTACGAGGACCGTAAATCGGTCACGTCAAAAGTCATATTTGCAGTCTTCCTGACTGAACTTTCGTCACTGAAGAGACCTTGAATCAAGCCCCTCAGATCGGCTGCCACGAAACAAGATCACGCGGAACCTCATGCAGGTGTAAATCAGTTAGCAGAAAGTGCGGCCGGCATGGCTTTTCCGTCAAACACTTGCCTGAATAAAGTTTGATTGTAATGGACGAAAGGCCCTACCCTTAACGAAATTTGCCTTCATTTACTGTAGTCTGGTCGCTTCTAACGCGGAAACATGGCGAATAAAATGCTCTTTGGAAAGTCTCTGGCAGAGTACGATGATAATCTGGACAACCTTGACGAAATGTTGTCCAAGCTGACAGAAGATGAGATCAACGAGCTGAATAATGACATTGATCCAGATAACGCCTTGCTGCCGCCCTCACAGCGTTGTCGCGACCAGACGACAAAGGAACCCACGGGTCCCTTCAACAGAGAGAAGCTTATCCAGTGAGTCTTGTGCACTTTCCTCATGCATAAACCTTGAAATTTATAAGAGTCTTAGCTCGACACGCTATTAATATTTCTATTTATTTTTGTGCATTTAATACATTGACAGCGGTGGCCGAATAATTTGTCCGAAACGTCAGCAGTTCATTAAATCTGTTCCAGCGAGTGTTTCCTCCCTCAACTTATTACTTTAGTCCTCTCAACGCTGCTAATCTGTTTTTAAGTGCTGCCAGTGCCTGTGAAGTAAGAACTAACGCAGCGCTGGAGGAGTGAGTTCCGTTAACGATCGGTGAACGTTCATCAACGAGCTTAAAGGTCATACTGTGCCGGCTTAGCTCCTTACTAGTATTGACAATAAATATGGGTCTATTTGCCGAGCTGTATACGCAAAATCGCGGAACTTTAGATCTAAAGCACGGACTTTTGCTTTGCAATGTCACTATTAAATTCTATCACACTGACTTTTGAGAGAATTATTTAATAGGCTGCTCTAGCCGTTCGTCCCTTTCGTTCTTGTTGAACCGCTCCGAGTATGTCCGCAACACCCGCCTGTTTAATTTCCAACCCGATGCCTTGGGACGATCTTCAAATGACATGCGCATCTTGCAGGTGATCTAGCCTCGCCAATCAAATCGTCTTTACCCGATGAAGTCATTTACACAGCACAGGAGCGGATGTTTCGCCATGTGGGTTCATCAGGTCCGTGAATCGAATTAGGGCTTGTACAGCCAAGGCCAGGATGCAACTCCTGCCCATGATTTGCTTAGTTCTTCTCAACAGGATATGGGTCGCCGTTTTAATGTGTTGTCACTCAAAACAAACTGTACTTCCTTAGAAGCATTAGCGAAAAACGGGCGTTCCTGCTCTGCTCGCCCTCGTAATTGATCACTTAAGGTGCCACACCCAAATTATTTAGATTCCTTTCGACCACACCCGACAGCTGCGTGTAAGCCCG